GTTCATATCCCTATTGTAACAGAGGTGGAAATGTTTTTCACTGGTGTAGAGATGCTGCATGCATTTGAGTGGATGGATAGAATAGGTTTTTTTTAAAGATTGCAGTCATTTTATGGAGTGTTTGCAGGCAATAATATTTTTTAAAACAATAAAATTAAGTTAGTCTCCAACTATGTGAGATATAATGAACTTATTTAAAGGGTTTTCTATATATTGAAATATATAAACCAGTGTTTGTTCTTATGATGTGTGTGTACCATAATAATGTAACTTGGAAAAGATATTCGTTTAACTAAAACCTTCTAAAACATAGTAGCCATCAAAACATATCGCAATTTTTGAAAATAACCACTAGAGGACAGTATCTGACCATTGTATATCAGCATAATTGCTGGGATCAACCTTTTGTGTTATAAAATATAAGGGCACAATTTAAGGTCTGTGACTGAGATGTATCTTAATAAGGGCATATTTTATACTTTCTTTAGAAAGGTTTACTCATAAATGTGCAATTTTTCTGAGATGTTGGACTGCCGTCTTCTTAATAAGGGTTTATACTTTCTTTAGAAAGGTTTAGTCATAAATGTGCAAGTTTTCTGAGATGTTGGACTGCCATCTTCTTAACAGAAGTGAGTGCCCTATGTCCAAGTCAAATACCGTACATTAACAATGTTACTGCTGGCATGGTTTGAACGTTATATTTGAATATTAGATATACTGCATTAATTTTCTTTATGGCATAGTTCATTCTCTCTTGTACACACTGAGGTGGATCTGAAGAACCATAAGCAGAAGGCGAAAATATTAGTGGTGTTCTATGAAGTCTTATGGGACGGCTAATAAAAGGCACCTGCTCAATTACCTGACAGCTCTGTTACAGCCTGAGAAGTGTCTTGCCTACAGTAGATCCATGTTGTGACATATAATATCTCTTTCTTACATGACATCAAGTCACTTCCAGATTACAGCCATCCTAGCCCAACACTCTATTCATTACACCACCCTCGCTCTCTATATAAGCTGTTCTAGATTTTGTCGCCCACCTCATTTTATGACCTGCTAGAGGATAGATATAATAATGATGATGAAGAAGAAGAAGAAGAAGAATTGGGAAAACTTAACAAAAACCAGAGACCTGGCAATCAAAATATCTTGCTTGTGGATTAAATACACTTCAGTGGTCCCCGTAGTCATCGGAGCTTCAGGAACAGTGTCAAAAAATTTCATGCAGTATTATAAGCAGTTGTACATCTCAGAAATAACACCATCAGACCCACAAAAATGGCAGTGTCAATATTTAACAGCTACTTAGGTTTTTGATTAAAATTTGTATCTGTTATATAATACCAGTCCATATTTTTATAAGTTTGATTAACTGTGCGTGGTGTTTTTACCCCAAAAACCCAGAGGCCGTGGATCACTGCAAACGTATTTACCACAAAAAACCCCCCAAAACCCAGAGGCCGTGGATCACTGCAAACACTACAGGTAGTAGAGAAGGAAAATAGAAGCCTAAATTAATATATGAGTACAAGCAGAGAAAAAATTCTTAAGGAAAATGGAGAATATTTTGAAAATGACCAAAACAAAGGCTCGATATAAGAAACAACAATTTGAAAATAAATTAATTAGCTGGAAAAATAAACCACTACATGGAGAATGCCCAAGAAATATTGCTGGAAAGCGTAATCATAATTCATAATGCACACAGCTAAAACTGGGAACTCTTAAGAAAGAATCTGAAGGCTTGATTTTTGCTGCATAAGTACTGTACAAGCACTGCAAACCAACGTGATGAAAGCTAGGATCCAAGGAATTAGCGCTAACAGCAAATGTCAACTCTGCCAAGAAAAAGATGAAACCATGCCACACTGCATCTGTGAATGTTCAAAGATTGCATAAACAGATTACAAAGGTAGATATGATAGAGTGGCAAAATGAGTGCACTGGTCATTATGCAAAAAATATAACTTGCCAGCCTCCAAAAACCCATGGGAACATCAGGTAGAAAAGGTGTCAGAAAATGAGGAAGTCAAGATCTTGTGGGACTTCCGGATCCAAATGGATAGACATCTTGAACATAACACAGCAGACATAGTAGTAATAGGATGAAGAAATGTCTGGATCATTGACATTGCAATTCCGGGTGTGCCAGAATTTAAAATAAAGAATTGGAAAAACTACCAGAGACCTGGCAATTGAAACATCTTGCCTCTGAAAGAAACACACTTCAGTGGTCCCCCGTAGTCATTGGGAACAATATCAAGAAATTATACACTGTACTATAAGCAGTTGCAGATCTCAGAAATCACACCATACAAAAACTGGCATACACACTGCCTTGATATTTAACAGATACCTAGGTTTTTGGTTAAAACATGTATCTGTTATATAATACCAGTCAATGTTTTTAAAAACATTGTGTTTCTGAATAATAATGTGTTTAGTCGTTTAGTCGTGTCCGACTCTTCGTGACCCCATGGACCAGAGCACGCCAGGCCCTCCTGTCTTCCACTGCCTCCCGGAGTTGTGTCAGGTTCATGTTGGTTGCTTCGCAGACACTGTAGGGAACAAGAGTCATGAAAGATCAGCTGCTTGTAGGTCAAATTATACTGAAGAATACAAAAAAGACAAAAAACAAACCTTAACATGGATAGACTATAAAAAGGGATTTAACTTATTGCTGCACAGCTGGATTAACACCTGCCTAAAATGTTTCGGATTTGTAAAAACATTCAGAAGTTCCTCAAGAAAAAACATGAAAAAATGGAAAACTCTCCTAATGGCCTATGGTGAAGAAAGTTGGCAAGTTAGCATCAAAAGAGGAATATTTCAAGGGGATGCTTTGTCACCACTGCTGTTTAACATCTCACTTAATCCCCCATGTCAATAATTTTAAAACTTGATAGGTCTACCATATTTCAGAACAAGCAGGAAAAAATCAATCATCTCTTTATACATGGATGACCTAAAACTATATGCAAAAAGTTCCACAGAGATAGAATCACTGCTAAACACAGTGCTAATATTTAGTGAAGATATGCAAATGAAATTTGGAATTGACAAATGTGCAACTCTGTCTGTACACTGTGGCAAGATCCAAAAACTAAATGGAATAGAGTTTTAAAAATGGCTATATTATAAAATCATTCTCAAGTGATGAAAATCATACATACCTTGGAATACCAGAAGCAGATAACATCGTGCACACAAAAATTAAAGAACTGACAGAAAGGGAATATATCAAAAGACTGTGGAAAAATCTTAAAATCAAAATTAAATGGGGAAAATACAATCAAAGCCATAAACACATGGGTAGTTCCAATAATTAGATACTCAGCTGGAATAATAGATTGGACTCAAATTGAATTAGAAGAACTGAATCGAAAAACATGGAAACTAATGAACATGCATCACACCCTACATCCAAAAAGTGATGTGGACAGATTATATTTACCACCACCACCACTACAACAACAACAATATACTGTTGTATATAGCTGGCAATTCTGACTTTATAGTGACCTTTTTTTCAGAGTTCCATGTAGAAAATAGAAGTGGTTTGTCCTTCCCTTTTTCTGGAGACATCCTGGGACTGTGCAGCTTGCCCAAGGCCACACAGGCTGGCCATTTTCCCAGGAGACACAGTGGAGCATCAAACTCTCAACTTCCAGCTCCACAGCCTGATACCCAAACCACTGAGCTATCCAGCTACTAACATATACCTAGGGGACCATTTAAAAAAAAAGAGAGAGAGAGAGAGAGCAAAATCTAGTCAGTTTGTTTATGTTGGTGGAAAAGCATCTTCTGATTTGGACTAACTTTTCTCACATAGTGCGAGAGAGAGCGAGCAAAATCTAGTACAGTTTGCTTATGTTGGTGGAAAAGCATCTTTTGATTTGGACTAACTTTTCTCACATAGTGCTGTTTCACTAGGCTAAGCACAATGGGTTTGCGAATGAAAGAGGCTTTTTAACTGGCAGGGTAACTTGAGATCCAAACTTTATTCTACGTTATCAAGCTTACCAGCTGAAAACAGTGCAAAAAGAGGTAGGTGACTGGCATAGGTGGCTTCCATGCTGTGTGCATGTGATTTCTTGTCTTTTGTGGAAAATAAAGAATGCTTTACAGCTTGCTTTTGCTATTTACCCTAATTTGTTGAAGACTGATTTAGCATTTGTGGTAGAAACAAATTAAGTTCCACAGTTTAATTAGCATAGCAACCCTATGAGGTGAGACAAAGAGATAAATGTTGCTGATATGAAAATGGTGACAGAGACCACATTAACCTGATTTCCCACAAATCAGACAAGAAACACTGTGCTTACTTGGATATATCAGTAAATCAGACTTCTTTTGAATTCCCCCTACAAATAAGAACAACTGAACAAATCATTAGCTTTTCATCCATGTTTTTTTGTTGTGAGGTCCAGAACACACTCTCTGGTGTGTGTCTCCCTTGACAAGACAGAGTAATTGACCAGGAACTAGTGTGATAGGACAGAATTCTGAGTAATTCTAGGGTACTGCTTCCATGCTGTCAGTGTTGGGTATTAACAACGTTTTACCCTACTTTTGGCTTTCCTGTGTCAGAGGATGGAAATCTACTAGGATACCTGAAAGCCAAGTTCACTTTTGCCCTTCAGCGAGAGCCAGCAGATGGACTCTGGCCAATTTATGGGACTGTATCAGCAATGGACAACTGGTTTTGAATTTTTGAACACTTTCAGGGGTCTTGGGTTGTTTCATTTGTATAAAGGGACTCTGTTGCCACATCTGGTCATACAAATGTTCCATGGACCTTCACTACAATGTATGTTTAGAAGTCATTAGCAACTTTATGAATATTTTCCCCTTAAGTTTTAAAATTTACACTTAGGCCAGACACACATTTTCCAATAGATGAAATACAAGTACAGTCTAAATAACCTCTAGGTTTCACACTGGAGCCTCTGAAATGTACCAGTTAACTTCTCCTCTTTTTCTTCTTCTACTTCTAGCTGCAACCATGGTAGAAGCCGGAAAAGGCAAGAATAATCCTGATGAGTTTGCAATTGCCCTCGATGAAGCTTTAGGAGACTTTGCATTTCCAGATGAGTTTGTCTTTGATGTGTGGGGAGCCATAGGAGATGCAATGCAAGGACGCTTTTAAAGAGAATGTCAGCTGGAAGTAGAACATAACAGCTATCGACATGGCATGGGATTTCAGACTTGTCTACCAAGCAGAAGGTTTTGAATATTCAGAAGCTTGGGTAAATAATGATATTTGTTTGCTGGCAATGCAAAGACTTTCAAAATAAAGCTGGCTTCAGGAACATACTTGTGAAGCTTTCAGGCTCATGTAGCACTTAATTGAAAATATTCCCTTGAAATATTTGTAAAACTGCATTATTTAGGTACATATCTAGCATATTTAACATGTAGAGGTTATGTTGACAGCCCCATGAAAACATACTGTATGTCTTCATCATGAAGTCAATACTTTCAGGAGCTGATAAAGCCGAGAAAAAAAATCACTGAAAAATTATATTGCTTTTTCATCCTCTCCTCAGAATTACTGTGGTGTTTATGGCATTCTGTTTTCAGCACTTCCTTCCTTTGAAACAGTACTTTGTGTTTAGGATTTTGTCAGGATTAAGAAAGCCATAGTTAAGAGGTGAGGTCATAGATCTTCAGTGGCAGAGACTGAATATGCTTTGAATACATGCAAGTCTTTGGTTCCGTCATTCCTTGATCTTAGGAAAAGGTGGGGGTGTATAAGATGCTGTAATCTGCAGCCAATCACTTTGCAGAGATAAAATAAATATTAGCTTAAATTGGTACGCCTTGGCAACATCTTATTTTTATATTGGTATCTTAATTGTGTAGCACTCAAGAGAAATTCTGAGTTGTCTTTTATGGTGAAGTTATTATGCCTAAGAGTCCTAGAATGTTGGCATTTTTTCCATGTGTTTCTTAAATCAGATTTTGCATTTCTCAGTTCTACAAATTAAATAAATATATATATATGGGGGGGGGGTTATGAATACATCTGCAATTTTAAACTGACTTTTAATTTTTGTGTTAATGCCATTTCATGTGACACATTCCAAGCAATGGGCTGTTTGTACTGTCAGTAGGATATTAAAATTCTTTTTGGTGGTACTGCAGAGGGCAAGTGGGCTTAGATGATCCTGTTTATACAAAATGCTCAGGTTTAAATCCAGCATTGTACTGGCGTGGTTATGCCAGTATGACAGAACATTGCCACTTCCTTTCCTTTCCCCGTTGCAGCTCTCTGTGTTGCTTGCAAACCAGCTCTCAAGGGCTTCCCAATCCTTCAATGCATGTTTTTGAGATCTTCCCTCCTAATGCCAGTAATAGAAACAGTGTTGTGGGATGGGCTTCCCTGGACTCTAGCCTCAGTCCACAGAATCTCTAAATTTAATTTAAAGTCAATCTCTAAATTTTGCTACTTGTCTAAATCTCAGAAAAGGCCAAAATTCTCTTGACATTTCCCATGCATGTAAGTTCAATTTGTAGAAGTGCCTTTTGTGTGTCCTGGGCTGGCTCTGGTGCGATTGGTTGCACAACCAGATGTGTGCTCAATTGCACAACTGGAGGAAGACCAGCTGTGCAGCAAGCAACTTCAGGACCAGCTATTGATGCTTGCATGATTGCCCTTGCACGATCTTCTGGCCTCACACATTTTTTCAACCTTTTATATGAATTTCTACAAAACTGTGCAGTGAAGATTAGAATAGAAATATCTGAGTCAGGTGTTGCATTTGCCACCAGAAACTATTTCTGTGTTAGCAAGAGTTGAATGAAAAAGCTTAGTTTTATGCTACTGCTATTTTGTGAATATTCTAATAGAGAAGTTCCCAGGAAATGCGTGGGGGTTTGCTGTAGATGCTGTGGCTTAGGAGAGTCCCATCTACTGTGGGAATATGTGCAGGGCACTTTAAAGAGGCAGATGTTATTTGTAACTATTTCCTCCTGTGTTGAAGTCACAAAAACACTGTAAATATGCCTAGGTTTTTGCATTTGATTTTTTAAAAAAATACCGATTTTATAAATCTTGGAATACTGAATCTCATGTGCCAATTATTTAAAAAAAACCATGGAGAAATTAGGTTAATGAAATAGTTCCCAATTACATAACTTTCCCTTTGAGATTGCAAACGTTTCAACAACAAGCATTTTTTCATTTGACAGAATGGAAAAGGTCACGATTTACAGTAGGAAAGGCCAAACCCCTGTTTGTTTTTGTTTTTGTTTTGCTCCGTTTGCATAAGCGAGTCTTCACTATTCCATTATGCAAGGAGAAATCAATGTTGCTTTCAACAGAGTGAATTTCAGCTTATGCAGTTGCACACTGGGAGATCATGCAGAATGCTTTGCCCACAGAGAGCAATATGCTGTGTGATCTCCAAGAGGTTCTGTCCATAAAGAGCAAATAATTTTGTTCATAATGGCTATATGTAGTTTCTACAAAGATGGGTTTTCAAATAAAATTGTAAAGCCAGTGTATCAACTTCTTGCAATGTTTGTAAAACATACTGGGAACTGTGAGTCAACTTTTACTACTCAACACTGACAACTAAACTAGATGAACACCTTGTTTTTATTTAAAATAATAAAGGAAATCTAGCTATTCTAGTGTGACTTTGCCTGCCTCCATGTTTTGCACATTAACTTGTTTTGTTTTTTGATTGATAATTGAGAGGTAAACATGTGCTTCATTTGCAAACCCAATTGTGTTTTAAAGGAACGGAGTGCCCGAAGGGAAAGTAATAGCAGTAAATACACATGTAATTTGGCAGAGTGCTTTTTAAGGTTTTCTACCTTTGACACCACAGAAAAGAACAGAACTGCAGTTACTGAACATGTAAGATTGGGTGTATAATTAGTGCGCATTATGCGTGATATATTTGTATTGTTTTATTGATGAGGGAAGGATGAACATGTTTATTGTGGGAAAAGAAATGGTATCATGGGACATGTTTCTTTGTTATGTCTTTTTGGCTCACATTTACAATGTTTATGGACCAGTTGCACATCACCTGAAGTCACAGCATTTGCCACGTTGTGCTCAGGCTTCAAAGACACGTGTGTGTGTGTGTGTGTGTGTGTGTGTGTGTGTGTGTGTGTGTGTGTGTGTGTGTGTGTGTGTATTATGATTGCTTGAACCTATTAAAAAGATAAGGGCTCTAAAATATGGGATACCAGAATAATTTGCACAATGTGCCTTTTATCATAATTGGCCGTGAAGGATAGGAAAAGACATCTATTTAATCTAATTTAGACATTCCAGGGTGTTTGTGTACAAGAAAATGAACCATTTGTTTTGGCTCTGTCGCTGTCTTAATTAGATGCACACAATACTATGGTGGAGAAGGTCATCTGAATACATGTTAAAGACTGGAAAATGTCAATGCAAAATTACAGCTCAGTAGATCTGACACGAGGTGAATATTCAATTTAAGTCATTCTGTTTAAAAATGATATGGAGGTAAAGTTCAAAGCACTTAGCTTTTAAAATATCTGTTTAAATGGGTAAGTGCTGCCACATTTTATTTCAATTTTCTCTCAGATGTGTATTTAATTTGCTAAAAAATTTGCATTTCACATTTCTTAAACAATGTTAAGGATAGTATTAAATTCTGTTGAATTATTTTGAATTTATTTTGTGTGATTTGTTCTATGACTCTGCACTGTTCTTTGCTTAGAGTGGCTGAAATCCTATTGTGGAAAGTTACACTGCATAAGGCTGATGATGTCATTAGCTTTGGCAGTCTTTCAGACATAAAGATTTTCTGATTGCCATCCTCTAAATGGTCCAAGACCTTGCAGTTGTTCCTTTTGTCATGAGGAAGCTGTCAGGTGGCTGTGAGATGTCTTTAATTTCCAAAATGTTTTGCTGCCAATAAAATCATCCTGGTGACAGGAAATTAAAGACTTTCTCCTGTCCTGTGATGCTCAAGGGCTTCCTCACAATGGATATGATGACCAGGGAGCCTCATAACCTTTGGGAGATGGGAATAAGACATTTTTTAATTTTTAAAAAAGGTACCTCTGATGACAGCATCAGCCTTACATGGCAAAACTTTCTGTAACGGGATTTTTGCCATTGCATTGGGTTTTAAACAATACAGAATCACGACTTGGAGCCCCATGTAACAAATGGAGCTTATTTCACGAACACTGATTTCTAAGCCAAATGGGTCACTAGAGAAAAACTTTAGAATGGTTTAAACTGATTTGTGCAAATGCTGTTGTCTTTACAATGCTCTTTTGTATGTGGATGCTAACAAAAATAAAAGAAATGCTATTTTAAAAATTATGTTGAAGGCTTGCTTTTCATCAACTGAATTTTGTAAGAATCCTTGGGTACAAACTGGATTTTGTAAGAATTCTTGGGTACAAAAAAAAGTGAGTCTATCCTAGTTACAAACTGGGACTCGTATGGTCCTGTCCATGTAGGACAGCATTTTGAAATAGCTGTCGTGTCACTGGTCATATGTTGTAAACACTGGCCTTGATCCAAGAAGGGAGAACATGTCTACAGCAGTAACAAGAGGTTAAGAATGATCCCAGTTTTTGTCACTGTAAACTTTGGATGACTTCCCGTGTTTTAAAATCTTGTTTCTCCTTCCTCATTTTGGCCAGGAATTCTGTTCGTCTGCCACATTTATGTTTAAAATGCTATAATGCTGTCACAAATTCACTTCCCATTACTGTGTTCTCTCTTCCCACTTCTCCCACATAATGTATCTGCTGTGGCAATTCTTGAAGAGGTAGCTGTGTTAGTCTGTTTCAGTGATCAGTTGGTTTCCAGGAGGTGGTGACTGCTGATGCTTATGTAATTAGCACTCTGACTGATTGTTACTGGTGTTAACAATGCCATGGTTATTTTGGAAGTCCATTGCAAATGTAATTGTCCCCTACTTTCCCCCATCACATTTGGCCCCCATGCCTCTACTGTGTCCTCTGTGTTATGTAAACTTGTGGCCTAGCTATTAGGTTTCTTATGTCTGAGGAAGTGGGTTGTAATCCAAAACAGCTCTCACTGAAATAAATCTGCTGGTCTTTAAGGCACCAGAGGTCTTTTGATTTTCTTTTTGGTTGCACATACATATTGTGAAACCCTTGGTTCCTTCTTGCAAAATCCACATTGGATTAAAAAGGAATTACTTTCATTGTTGCTGGATTCAGCTGTCAATAATTTTGGTTAGCTGAAGTGAATTAACTGCTTTGCATTAATTGACCATGGCATGTCTGTTGTGAAGTTATTATGGGAAGAGGATGGGAATAAATGTGAGCTTTCTACATTGTGGTCTGCCTGCAAGTGAAAGAAATTGGACTTCTTGTCATTTATTAAACAAGTTCTTATTGATCTGCATTAGACAGACCAAGGTTCCTTTGTAACATGTCTTACTGAACTTAACAGCTTGAAAGAAAGGAAGGAAAAGGACAGGATAATTTACTACATTTTAAAATGATGGCAACTATTCTGACTAAGAAAGAAATAATAAAGAACATGTAAGATGGCTGGATTTAAAAGGAACGGTAGATGTAGTTGGTTGGATCTTTATTGGTACTTTGACTTTTTTTCTTCGAAAACAGCCCTCTGCTCTATCCCTACAATGACAAGAAATGTACTGCTATGTTCCTTGTTTCTAGTCATAAGCTGACCTATAACTTACAGGCTAACCTAAATCTTGTCTGTTCCCTCCTTCCCTCACTCTGTGAGCATGTTGCTGTTACCTGCTGTCAAGTCAGAACTGACATATAGCAACTCTAATAGGGTTTTCAATGTAAGTGAGGTATTTATGGAATGGTTTTACCAGCTTCACAACCCCAGTGAGTTCCCATGGCCGAGAAAGGATTAGAACCTCTTCTCCAAAGCCCTAGTCTGTCATTTTATCCACTACTCCACACCTGTGAGGATAATGCTTCACAGATAATGAAGATTATTTACTACTTTATATACTGGATTTGGGGTTTTGTTGGCTTATGTATGGATGGATGTACACATACATACCAGGCCTGGATCCCCTTCTCAGCCTCTCAGTCTCTCTTCATTAAATCATGTCCATTAATTTTTCCTTGTTTTGTTTTAAATTCCTTATAAGATGTATTTGTCGTCATGTTTTGGCTTCTATTGCACAGGTTGCCACCATCCGCTGCCAGCAAATGACCTCACTTAATGGTTGCTGACACTGTTGCTGTGCAATATTTAAAGCTGGGATGAGAAAACATTGTGACCTTCATAAGGTCTGTGACTCAGGAGATCTTAAAATGCTTCTGTTTAAAATGTCACTCTCCTCAGAGTTTTTTTTAAAAACTGATTGTCTCTTGTAGGCCACTTTTTGTTGTTGAAAAAATATAGTGCTAAGGCAGGAGCAGGTGGCTGGATAGTTCAGTGGTGTAGGTATCTGGCTTGCCAGCAAATGACCTCAGGATCATTTTATTTTCCAAGGTATTCTCCAACCACAATATTGTATATGAATATTCAAAAAGAGTTAAAACTATAATATTAGATGGTGCCACATATAGTGCCAGTTTAGGGGGATCTCTATTCACTCTCCTCAGAGTTTTTTTTAAAAACTGATTGTCTCTTGTAGGCCACTTTTTGTTGTTGAAAAAATATAGTGCTAAGGCAGGAGCAGGTGGCTGGATAGTTCAGTGGTGTAGGTATCTGGCGGTGGAGCTAGAGGTTGAGAGTTCGATTCCCCATGGGGCCTCCTGAGAGTAGAGCCAGCCTGTGTGACCTTGGGCAAGCTGCACAATCCTGGGGTGTACACAGAAATCAAGTCGGAATTGATTTGATGGCACACAATTGTTATTACAAAGGCAGAGAGGGAAACCCAGTGGGGCAAGGTGTGTACAATGGAGGACTAGGACTAAGGAGACCTGTTTGAATTTCTGCTCAGCCACTTGGAAACTCACTGGGGGTGTGGAACTGGGAAAACCATTCCACAAATATCTCATTTACCTTGGAAGCCCTGTTAGGGTAGCTGTAAGTCAGTTCTGACTTAAAGGTACATAACAACAACCGGGCAGGATCATTTCATTTTCCAAGGTATTCTCCAACCAAAATATTGTATATGAATATTCAAAAAGAGTTAAAACTATAATATTAGATGGTGCCACATATAGTGCCAGTTTAGGGGGATCTCTATGTGCATGCAAATATATATGAAGGAGTTTATTGTTGTCCATTATAGCATCAGTCAGAATTGTGATACCCTGCATGACTATGTAAAGGCGATGGTGCAAGCAATCATAGCTGCGTCTAGTGTTTCTCTTCCTTGCACAGCCAACCGTGTGACTGGCCTTATGCCCAAGCAACCCACATTCAGCTTGAGACATACAAAAAACACTTGTGTACAGAAAATGTCAGTAGGGTTTTGGCTAGTGCATTACTGCTTATATTTTGGAGAACAAACCATCAGTACTTTTTTTAAAAAAATCTGAAACTTTGGGGTGAAAACAAAATAAAATTAAAAAGTTTTTAAAAAGACAATAACGTGGTGGTACCTTAAAGACTAACTTTTTGTTACTGCTTATATTTTGGAGAACAAACAATCAGTACTTTTAAAAAAAAATCAGACTGGGGTGAAAACAAAATAAAATAAAAAAGTTAAAAAAGAGACAAAAACGTGGTGGCACCTTAAAGACTAACTTTTATATATATTTTTAAATGTGAAATTTCATTTCCACAAATATCTCATTTACCTTGGAAGCCCTGTTAGGGTAGCTGTAAGTCAGTTCTGACTTAAAGGTACATAACAACAACCGGGCAGGATCATTTCATTTTCCAAGGTATTCTCCAACCAAAATATTGTATATGAATATTCAAAAAGAGTTAAAACTATAATATTAGATGGTGCCACATATAGTGCCAGTTTAGGGGGATCTCTATGTGCATGCAAATATATATGAAGGAGTTTATTGTTGCCCATTATAGCATCAGTCAGAATCGTGATACCCTGCATGACTATGTAAAGGCGATGGTGCAAGCAATCATAGCTGCGTCTAGTGTTTCTCTTCCTTGCACAGCCAACCGTGTGACTGGCCTTATGCCCAAGCAACCCACATTCAGCTTGAGACATACAAAAAACACTTGTGTACAGAAAATGTCAGTAGGGTTTTGGCTAGTGTGTTACTGCTTATATTTTGGAGAACAAACAATCAGTACTTTTAAAAAAAAATCAGACTGGGGTGAAAACAAAATAAAATAAAAAAGTTAAAAAAGAGACAAAAACGTGGTGGCACCTTAAAGACTAACTTTTATATATATTTTTAAATGTGAAATTTCATGGACAAGTGCAGTTTATGACATAAGAGCAGGAAGCTAAAGAAACTCTTTGCTTTACCTTTTTACATATGGTTAGGATTCCTGCTGGGGAAGAAGGTGGAGGCCTTCCCCTGGACATTGAGGGGTTAAAATGGTCTCGTATCCTCAAATGAAATTGCTTTGATCCGGACATAGTCCTATTTGGGGTAGATAAATTGAAACCAATGGGACAAGTTAGCCATACGTACTGATTTCACTGCAATTCTGGTCTGGATCTAACACAGTGTGTGGTACAGGTTTAGGATGGCATCAGTTCTCCTACTACCCGAATCCAGAAGAGGAGTGCTGCTCCCCATTGCATAGGAGTGGATACAGCTACTTGCAGGACAATGCTCAATCAGAGAGAGGGAGGAGAAGCAGTAGAGGAAGGGATGGTAGTGTTGACAGTACTGGCAATTATTCCTTGAGTGATGTCAAAAACAAGAACAGAGAGGCAGTGCAGAGGACTCTTACTACTCTTGCTGCCTCCCTAGCTTGGTTGCTTTCAGCTGTCTATTGATAATGATTGACTCTGAGGGAGGTCCTTGGGGCAAAGTCATTGTGGGAAGAGGGCCCTTCCCCAAATTTCAATGGCTCTATGAGTGACTCTCCAGTGATTGGGGGGTAGCCCCTCCTCCATCCCTAAATCTATGGATTTGACACTGGAATATGCAAACAAATTCTGTTTATTAGAATCTGTGATGAGTGATTAATATAAAACAACTCAACTGACTATCCAGCCTTGTGGCCAGTTAATGCCACTAGCCCTGCTTTCACCTCCTTTTCTCTGTTTCGCCAAGCTAAGTTCACTGGGGAAGTAGAGTCAAGAATTCACCTCAGCAATAGGTGCCATGATCCTCTGAGTCATGGGACCCATGGAAGTAAAGGTCTATATTTTTGCACATAGGGCAGGGGATGTGTTGAATCTGTGGCCTCATCAGAAGGTGTTCAAGTTTCTCTGTGGGCCTCTGCTATTCCTGTTCACAATTAAATTGAGTTGTCTGCTATTTCTGCCTTCAGCATCTCCACCGTGTAGGAGTAGGTCCTCCCTCTCTGGCTGGGCATCGTGCTTGGTATCTTGGTTCCTGTCAGTCCCCTGGTATGAGGGACATGGAGGGGGTATATGATACTGGTGCTTGATTCCCTCACCTCCATTGACCCTTACCTCTACACACTTTAACCACAATGTCCTCTTTAACCACAATGTCCCACTCTTCTCAAAGGTCTAGTTGAGATCCGTCCACCCCTTTGGGTTTTATAACTTCCTCCAGTTCTTCTTGCCCCCCCCCAATCCCTCATCTTCTTCCACTATTACATCTGCATCTCCTACAGCTTCTTCCTGCTTGATTTGTCCCTCTATCCATTCTAAGGCCTCCTTTATATTCTCTGTCTCCAAACTCCCCCCTGCTCTTTCTCCTCCCCAAGAAGCGGTCACCAAGAAGAGTGCTGGGTGTAATTCCTGTGTCTTTCCCCACCAATTCTAGGTTGAAGACAATATAATATGATGTTGTGAGGTCAACAAATGCTGTTTCAGTTACTTTATATGCTTCAAAGCCATCTTCTATATGCTGGGTTAGATTTAAGATTTCAGCCATACATCTCTTGCCAAGTCTAAAATTTGCCAG